TTGAATATTGAACATCTATTCTGATAATAAAGAAAGAGTGAAAGAGTGAACAGCCAACAGTATATACTATATAGTGCACCTGGCAATGTAGATAAAGAAGAATTAATGTAAGACTTGACACAAAGGTTTATAAAGAAAAGATATTTCATCTGTTTTTTAGCTCACCTGAGCATATGCTCAGGGTGAGCTATTAGGATCACTCTTCGTCCGTCGTCTGTCGTCCGTCGTACGTCGTCCGTTGTCCGTTCACACTTTTCAAACGACATCTCCTCTGAAACCATAAGGCAGATCATAATGAAACTTCACAGGGATGTTCCTTGTGTGAAGCCTTAACAAAGTTGTTCAAAGAATTCCATTCCATGCAGAACTCTGGTTGCCATGGCAACCAAAAGAAAAAACTTTAAACATCTTCTTCTAGATAACCCAAAGAGCTAGAGCTTAGATATTTGGCATGAAACATCTTCTAGTGAGTGTCTACCAAGATTTTTTTTTTTTTTTTTTTTTTTTTACCAAGATTGTTCAAATAAAAGCCCTGGGGTCAAAATTGGCCCCGCCCCATGGGGTCATTGATTTTCCTTATATGCATATAGTAAAAACTTAAAAAAATCTTCTTCTAAAAAACCCAAAGAGCTAGAGCTTAGATATTTGGCATAAAACATGTTCTAATGGATGTCTACCAAGTTTGTTCAAATAAAAGCCCTGGGGTCAAAATTGGCCCCGCCCCAGGGGGTCATTGATTTTCCCTATATGCATATAGTAAAAACTTAAAAAAATCTTCTTTTAAAGAACCCAAAGAGCTAGACCTAAGATATTAAGCATGAAACATCTTCTAATAAGTGTCTACCAAGATTGTTCAAATAAAAGCCCTGGGGTCAAAATTGGCCCCGCCCCAGGGGGTCATTGATTTTCCCTATATGCATATAGTAAAAACTTAAAAAAATCTTCTTTTAAAGAACCCAAAGAGCTAGACCTAAGATATTAAGCATGAAACATCTTCTAATGAGTGTCTACCAAGATTGTTCAAATAAAAGCCCTGGGGTCAAAATTGGCCCCGCCCCAGGGGGTCATTGATTTTCCTTATATGCATAAAGTAAAAACTTAAAAAATCTTCTTCTAAAAAACCCAAAGAGCTAGAGCTTAGTTATTTGGCATTAAACATGTTCTAATGGATGTCTACCAAGTTTGTTCAAATAAAAGCCCTGGGGTCAAAATTGGCCCCGCCCCAGGGGGTCATTGATTATCCCTATATGCATATAGTAAAAACTTAAAAAAATCTTCTATTAAAGAACCCAAAGAGCTAGACCTAAGATATTAAGCATGAAACATCTTCTAATAAGTGTCTACCAAGATTGTTCAAATAAAAGCCCTGGGGTCAAAATTGGCCCTGCCCCAGGGGGTCATTGATTTTCCCTATATGCATATAGTAAAAACTTTAAAAAATCTTCTTCTAAAAAAACCAAAGAGCTAGAGCTTAGATATTTGGTGTAAAATATGTTCTAATGGATGTCTACAAAGATTGTTCAAATTAAAGCCCTGGGGTCAAAATTGGCCCCGCCCCAGGGGGGTATTGATTTTCCCTATATGCATATAGTAAAAACTTAAAAAAATCTTCTCTTAAAGAACCCAAAGAGCTAGAGCTAAGATATTAAGCATGAAACATCTTCTTATCAGTGTCTACCACGTTTGTTCAAATAAAAGCCCTGGGGTCAAAATTGGCCCCGCCCCAGGGGGTCATTGATTTTCCCTATATGCATATAGTAAAAACTTAAAAAAAATTCTTTTAAAGAACCCAAAGAGCTAGAGCTTAGATATTTAGCATGAAACATGTTCTAATGGATGTCTACCAAGTTTGTTCAAATAAAAGCCCTTGGGTTAAAATTGGCCCTGCCAGGGGGAGGGGGGGGGGCAAAAGTTATTATTATTCATTATTTGTGTAAAGTAAAAACTTAACATCATGAAATATCTTCTAATGGGTGTCTTCCAAGTTTGTTCAAATAAAAGCCCTTTGGTTTAAACTGGCCCGGCCCTGGGGGCCTATGTTCAGGTGAGCGACCCCAGGGCCATCATGGCCCTCTTGTTTAAGATATATGAAATTAAATAATAACAAAAGTGAAATATGGCAACATCTTCGGCTATATTCTGTATGAGAAAAAACCTTGTCAGGATTATATTTTTAGCATCTATCATAGGTTATTAATAGAAACTTTGTTTTACCAATTACATTTTGTACTTTGAATTGTTTTTCAACACTTATTCATTTCAACATTTTCTCAATGTTTTGCTTGGTTTTCATGAATGTACCGTAGTTCATTTTGCTTGTGAACTTACAAACCAAGCAAAAGTTATCTAGTATATGTGTGTATATGTAGTACATAAATGAGGTACACTGATTAACATTGAAGGGTATGAGAACCTAAATATAGAAAGGCAACAACTATATCATCATGGAAGTACATAGTTTTACATTGTTTGCTGCCAGCTCTGAGCATGAAATCAGTACAAATATTTTGTTCACTGTTTCATAAGTTCATGAATATTAGCACCTGTTGTTTAATTAACAAACTCAGTACAAAGAAGATAGAAAATTAATTAATTAATTAATTTAAGGTACCGCTTTACACTATTGCCTTGTTGCCTGATATTCTATAATTATTGAAGCATTAGATAATTTTACATGTTCGTTCACATTCACTGAGGTCTCTGAGTAAAGAATATTAAAAATGTTGATATTCAGGTATCTAAAAGCTTTAACTAGAGGATTCAGTTGCAAGATGTCACATCGGCTTCCATCATAATCGGTGTCACCCTACAAAGACATATCTACCTATATTTGTAAAAACAGAAAATGTAAAACAATTAAAGGTATGCCTGATGCCGGATGTTTGATGACAAGAACATTTTACCTCCCTTGATGGTGTCCGGTACATGACATAAACTGTACAAATTATATTCTATTTTCTTGTCGTACCGTGAACCGAACCGGAGCTATACAGTTACAATAAACCGATCAGCAAGATATACCAGTTCACCTATATTTATGAGATTTATTCAGATCATATTTAAACAGCCATTAACAAAGACAAATATTTTCAAAAAGATAAGTTTTGAGACAATTTAATCCGGCATTGCGGTGACCAACATATCCCTAAGTATCAATATCTCGTAAATGTACTGTTATACAAATCTTTTTATATGGCTAATGCCTGTAATGTCAATAGGTGATATTTCTTTATTATAATGTTTACTTACTTTGACAATTTTGAATATATGATGATAAGTAATGGTCTTGATCAATGAGCCCTGACCTACATACATAAGAAATGAGGAAAATAACATACTATAGATAATTATGGAAATAATGATTTTGTTGGTAAGATTTCTTCGTAAGATTTTTCTTTTGTTTTTGCTACTGTTTAATTGTAAGATTCAAATTTCTTTGAATTTAAACCACCCAGCCTTCTATACAATGTAATTTAATTGTTTGACATTATAATTATATAAGACATTTCAAGATTTAAGTTCCTTACAGAATTCTGGTTGTATTATTTACTAAGATACCATCAAGTGATTTTGACCACAGATGTTAATGAACAATAGAAATTTATAAATACTTCTGAGAATCAAAAATATTTTCACAAGTTTTGATATTTTCCGACAAAATTATTTTAAATATTTTTTTTATTAGTTTGACAATCTGAAATCTTTTTAGCTATGTTATGATTAATTAGATGATGCATGAAGTGGAATAATAATTTCAATCAGGAATGATTAGGCGAGTTCTTGCAACAGTTATGTTTCATAAGAAGGTATAATAATATTGCTATTTTCGTTTCTGCATTATAATAGGAGGGATTTTTCAAAATTTTATTTACATGTACTTGCTTAAATTAACAAAACAGAAATATCATGTTCATTCAAGAAACAGCTTTTTGGAAATTCACGGTTTGAGAGCAGATAACAGAAGAAAAAAATTTTTTTTTTTTAGAAATAAAATATTATATAACATTGTAACCTTCTACCTGATATGAAAATTTTATTGTTTATTTATCATAGACATGAGGAGATATAAAGCTTTTAATTTCTCTTTATCAAACAGTAGCAAATCGTAGATTGTAAAATCATATTTAAGTTTTTATCTTCTGTATGCATTTACTGACTTTCCCACCCCCTGGTTTCTCAGTTTTGTTCATAATATTTTATGTAGACCAGACAAAAAAGAAATGAGAGGAAAAAAATCGGTCATTTTCCAGGTGGCACATTGTTCTAGAACTTATTGTTTAGTTTATGAAACATATTATTATTTTAGCAATAGCCCAATTATTATGAAACATACAATCATGTTCTTGCATCTTATATGAATCATATTTCAAGTCCGCTTCTTGGAACTAGCTAGTACTAGTATCATGTCAGGAAACATGGCTGTGATTTAAGTAGGGCTCCAACCAAAGATACCTGGTTTGAGAAACAAGCACCTTAACCAGGGCCCTTATATAATTGTTTATTTAGCAAGATATTCCATACAATTTAATAGTGATGATTTTGTGATATTTTATACAATATCATTTTTCATCATTTGGAAACTCCTGGTTATTGTTTTAAATTCATCATTATATTGAGTTTGGATGGGACATTTGTAAAAGAATAAGTCTTGTGATACAAAATTATTTGATAATGAATATAGTGGTTACTATATAATTGTAATTATTCCCAGCCCAGCATTAAAGACTAACTTTTCAACAGACTTGATAAATATGTTTGTAAAAAAAAAGTGATTGCATTCTATAACTACATGATACACAAGGTCTTTTTAAGTCCTTTTGGGAATAAGTCTGGGTGAAAGTTTAAGGACGAGCAACAATGTGGATAATAATGGACATCATTTTTTGGGGGAAACAGCAGTTTCCAGTGATTGGGGACTAGCTAAATATTATATGAACTGTCTTAAAAAGGGGGGAAAACACACCCACTGAATTAAATGTTGTTGTTGTTGTTGCTTTCAGGATAAAAGATACCATATTGTTGAAGAGTTGTACAGAAATGAGAGAGAATATGTGGAAGCACTTAAAATGCTGAAAGAGGTTAGTACAAAATTTACATATTGACTCCACTTGCCCCTCACCGCTGTTGGCTCGAATCCCAAAAGGGACTTTGGTTTCTTTCATGTGAGGGAGCTATCCATCTAGCTTACGGAACCTTAATGGTTCTACTCAGGCCGTATGTGCCTGAAATCATATACAGAGGGGCACTTGAGGTCTTCCTCTACCAGTAAATCTGGAAAGTCGCTATATTATGGCCTATACTATGTTGGTGCGACTTTAAACCCAATCCATAAAAAAAAAAAAAACTTTTTGATGAATTATGGTTTCTTATCTTCCTTAAGTAGATTAGAATCATGTCTAATGAACTTTGCTTTAACATTTAACCTTAACTTAACATTAAAAAGCTCTATTTTCTTTTCAATTTTTAAAGTGCAACAATTAATCCCTGTCACCAAACAACATTTCCCAAATTTTGTCCCTTATTCTGCATGTATCCAAATATTAAAGGTGACCTTCACTTGTTCAATGACCTACAGAAGTTTGAAAATTTGCTGTAGATCCTAAACATCAAAATAAGCAATGTTTATAAATAGATTTGGCAAAGTCAGAATAACTGTGGTGGTGCCATGTTCCTAGTAAATGTTGTCTACAAAAATCTATTTAATGTCATTATTCTTTACATTTAATGCTGTAACTAAAATGCTAGTTTTTTTACCTATATTTTATAATTAGATGGGTTAAAAGTAGGAAATGTTCAGGAATTTTACTGAAGTTTGTAGTAGAATGTGAAACTGTGAGAGATATAATTTTAGCATGAGGGTCATGAAATTAACAAGGATGATGGCTATTTATTAAGCCCTCGGTCTGGATCTGAATACTCATGCAACCAGTGCAAAACAGTACATATCAGTGCCGGTCGATCAGTGCACATCATTGAATCAATGCCGACCAATGCACATTGATGCCAACCAATGCACATTGATGCCAACCAATGCACATTGATGGCGACCAGTGCACATTGATGCCGACCAGTGAACATTGACGCTGACCAGTGCACATTGATGCTGACCAGTGCACATTGATGCCGACCAGTGAACATTGACGCTGACCAGTGCACATTGATGCTGACCAGTGCACATTGATGCTGACCAGTGCACATCCACGCCAACCAGTGCACATTGATGCTGACCAGTGCACATTGATGCCGACCAGTGCACATCCACGCCAACCAGTGCACATTGATGCTGACCAGTGCACATTGATGCCGACCAGTGCACATTGATGCCGACCAGTGCACATTGATGCCGACCAGTGCACATTGATGCCGACCAGTGCACATCAACGCCAACCAGTGTATGTTCGCGCACATCAGTGCTGGCTTATCATATGGTTGGAACTATTTGCTATTCAGTCAATGCTTATTTAGAAATTTTCCCGTAAAAAAGATGAATGTCTTTCAGTTTGTCACCAAGTTTGTGTAAGATGGGTAGAAATCAAATAGAAGTTGGTAGCATAAAAGTATAGTGTGTACAACAGGCTGTTACGAGGCGACAAAGCATATTATAAATCAGCAGCCAGACAGTTTAGAATAATAGATCTACATTTCTGAAAACAATTTGAAATAATGACTCCTTGCTGTGTGTTATTTCTATCTAATCTTGTTCTATGAAAATGCCAGTAGTACAATAGTGCAGTACACACACGCAATCTGTGCACAGACAATATGTAAATATTCTTTCAAAAAACCACCTGTCTCACTAACAATTATTGATACACTTTGGAATGTCAGGTATGCTAAGAATCCACTTTCTTTTTTTGTATGATTTAGTCATACACCATATTAATCTTATTTCAAGCTAATTATGGATACCTTTTTGATGTAAAGTACTGAATATTGTAAATATTAATAGTGTAGTAACTATATTTAACAGAGTTATTGCATCTTTGTTTACAATATGCACCTTTGAAATGGGGGTGAGTTAGTACCCATCAAAGGAACAGGTGTGTAAATAAAACATTTTCATGTTCACATATTGATGTAGGTTAGGTAATGTTTACATTGAAGGTAGAAAGGGATACCTTATTCTTAAGACAAACATAACTACAACTATTGCTAATGACTGATTAACAAGATTTGTTGGACAGCATTCTAAAATTTATTTTGCTTTGAAAAATTTAAGAAAAAAAATACAGTTTAAAGTACTCATTAGTTAGTGTATAAGATTAATAGGGCTTCCATTCTAGATACAATTGTCACATGTAAGAATAGGTAGTTTTGTTGTTATTATTACAGAAAAACAGTGACCTTTCTAAGAAAAAAAAATGTTGATAGAAATTCAAAATTAATATAAATGAAGCAGGTACTTCAAAAAGGAGCCACTATAAGCAAAAGTATAATGAAAAATTAAGCATTTTCTAAATGATTAAGAATTGTTTTATTTATTTTAAGCTAAATAAAGGGGTGAAAAACATCAGTGTTGTTGATGTTATATAAAACAACAATAAGATGATCGTTAAAGATTTTACAACACAATTATACTGTGTTATAAATGATGTTGTGAATACAATTAGAACATTTGTGATAAAACTTGAGTTACAGATGTAACATATCCATCAATGTTTACAAAATGCCAATTGATTTTAAACATGCATTTTCTATTGTAAACAGAATTTTCCAGAAATCTGTAAAGTTTAATTCCAGTCTGTACAAATTGCTGCGTGCTATGCTTATACAGTGATGTTTTTGTCATGTACACAATTATCGCCGATTGCAGGAGGGCATTTGAACAGAAAGCGCACATTTTAGGCAATATAGATATACTATATATTGCTATGCAATGCTTATACAGTAATGCTTTCATCATGTACAAAAATACAGTGAAAAATTACCCCCTTTGCAAGCGGGCAACAAAAAGCCCACAGTTTGGGCAATAGAGATATGTACAATTACCCCCTTTGCAGGAGGGGCAACAAAAAGCCCACAGTTTGGGCAATAGAGATATGTACAATTACCCCCTTTGCAAGCTGGCAACAAAAAGCCCACAGTTTGGGCAATAGAGATATGTACAATTACCCCCTTGGCAGGCTGGCAACAAAAAGCCCACAGTTTGGGCAATAGAGATATGTACAATTGCCCCCTTTGCAGGCGGGCAACAAAAAGCCCACAGTTTGGGCAATAGAGATATGTACAATTACCCCCTTTGCAAGCTGGCAACAAAAAGCCCACAGTTTGGGCAATAGAGATATGTACAATTACCCCTTTGCAGGCGGGCAACAGAAAGCCCACAGTTTGGGCAATAGAGATATGTACAATTACCCCCTGTGCAGGCAGGCAATAGAAAGCCCACAGTTTGGTTTATAGAGAAATTTACAATTTCCCCCTTTGCAGGCAGGCAACAGAAAGCCCACAGTTTGGGCAATAGAGATATGTACAATTATCCCCTTTGCAGGCAGGCAACAGAAAGCCCACAGTTTGGGCAATAGAGATATGTACAATTACCCCCTTGCAGGCTGGCAACAAAAAGCCCACAGTTTGGGCAATAGAGATATGTACAATTACCCCCTTTGCAAGCTGGCAACAAAAAGCCCACAGTTTGGGCAATAGAGATATGTACAATTACCCCTTTGCAGGCGGGCAACAGAAAGCCCACAGTTTAGGCAATAGAGATATGTACAATTGCCCCCTTTGCAGGCAGGCAATAGAAAGCCCACAGTTTGGTTAATAGAGATATGTACAATTACCCCCTTTGCAGGCGGGCAACAGAAAGCCCACAGTTTGGGCAATAGAGATATGTACAATTACCCCCTTTGCAGGCAGGCAACAGAAAGCCCACAGTTTGGGCAATAGAGATATGTACAATTACCCCCTTGCAGGCTGGCAACAGAAAGCCCACAGTTTGGGCAATAGAGATATGTACAATTACCCCTTTGCAGGTGGGCAACAGAAAGCCCACAGTTTGGGCAATAGAGATATGTACAATAGCCCCCTTTGCAGGCAGGCAATAGAAAGCCCACAGTTTGGACATTAGAGATATGTACAATTACCCCCTTGCAGGTGGGCAACAGAAAGCCCACAGTTTGGGCAATAGAGATATGTACAATTACCCCTTTGCAGGTGGGCAACAGAAAGTCCTCAGTTTGGGCAATAGAGATATGTACAATTACCCCCTTGCAGGCTGGCAACAAAAAGCCCACAGTTTGGGCAATAGAGATATGTACAATTACCCCCTTTGCAGGCTGGCAACAAAAAGCCCACAGTTTGGGCAATAGAGATATGTACAATTACCCCCTTTGCAGGCTGGCAACAAAAAGCCCACAGTTTGGGCAATAGAGATATGTACAATTACCCCCTTGCAGGAGGGCAACAGAAAAGCACAGTTTGGACAAAAGTGATATACTATTGCTATTTCTTGCTGCATTTACAGCTAAATTGGGTAATAGAAATGCATTTGAAATATTGACGGGTGATGGGAATAATTTAATGCAATGTTTATTGACAGTTTGAACAATAGAAATTGACTGTTGCAATGTTAACTGATATAAAGGAAAACAAAAAAGGAATATTCTATTGTGAAAACAGACATTAAATACAGTTGAAATGTATTATTGCAGTGTATAACAACGGTTTTAGGCAATGACCTGCACCAGTAGAAATTTATTTATGTAATGTTTGCTGACAGTAAGGGCAATAAAAATAATGGGCAAATTCCAATAGAAATGTATTTTTGCAATGTTTTCTGATAGTAAGGGCAATAGAAATGTATTTTTGCAATGTTTGCTTACAGTTTGGACAATAGAAATGTACATTTGCAATGTTTACTGACAATAGAAATAATAGAAATGTACTACTTTTGCAATGTTTGCTAACAGTATGGACGAAATAAATGTACTATTGCAAAGTTTTCTGATAGTCTCTGGACAACAGAAATGTACTTTTGCAATGTTTACTGACAGTAAGGGCAATAGAAATATATTAAAATAAATTATACTTTTACAATGTTTATTGACAGTTAAAGTTCTGAAAAAAATATTGTAATATT